GGAAAGAAAATGAGGGTAAATTGGTAATTAAAGATAAAAAATTTGGCCATATCATTGAGTTTTGCCAGATGGATTTCACACGTAATTTAAGTAAAGAAAAAAAATAGAATTTTTTGTTAATTAACCTGCCACATCAGTCAAAATTTAACGGAATGACTAAAAAGGAACCAGATTTGTGAACAGTAAGGATCAAAAAGGAGATTTTTTCGGTGCAAGGACTAAAATGGGGCTTTTTCCTATAGTAGAGGGACCAAAAAAGGGTTTTAACCTTTTTTCTTTTACCTCCAAGCGAACCCAAGAGCCTGGGTTCGCGAGGAACCCAGGAGCCTGGGTTCACGAGGAACCTAGCTCGCGGCCTCCAAGCGAACCCAAGAGCCTGGGTTCGCGAGGAACCCAGCTCGCGGGTTTGCAATGAACCCAGATACTTGGGTTTAGGACGAACCCAACTCCTAGGTTCGCCTAGAGGTAAAAGAAAAGAAAAGAACCCAGGTGCTTGAAGGTAAGCTATTCCAATATTTCTAGGTGTCCTAAAAAATGTTATTGCAAGCAACACCATAAATCTATCAGCAAAGCTAGAATGTTCTGAGCCATTAGAAAGATTGGGTTTGTCACGATGAATCCAGCTCGTGGGTTCGTCACGAACCCAAGAGCCTAGGTTCATTGCGAACTCACAAGTTGGGTTCACGACAAACCCACGAGCTGGGTTCACGACAAACCCACGAGCTGGGTTCATCGCAAACCCAAGCTAGGTTCGTTGTGAACCCAAGCTAGGTTTGTCGCGATGAACCTTGCTCGTGGGTTCGCGACAAACCCAAGAGTTGGGTTTGTCGTGATCCTAGGAGCTAGGTTCATTGCGTACCGTTGCGTACCCACGAGTAATGCATTTGTTCAACCAAAAGGACTAAAACTCATCTCATGACCAACAAAACCTATTCAACTTCCTTCTTGGAAGAACCTGTTAAAAACAGTTAATTAACCAAAGTCTTGGTGTTCAATTGATCACAGAATCATTTAACCAAATCAATCCAATCTTACCAACTAACATTTTTCCGTGCTTGAAGTGCCACAAATTACCACAAGAGGACCATGTCTCGAACCCGAGAGCCTGGGTTCGCGACAAACCCAGGCAACTGGGTTCACGATGAACCTAGGAGTTGGGTTCATCACGAATCCACGCTCCTGGGTTCGTTGCGAACCCACGAGCGGGGTTCATCGCGACAAACCTAGCCTGGATTTGCAACGAACCTAGCCTAGGTTTACGATGAATCCAGCTTGTGGGTTCGTGATGGCGAACCCAGGCTCCTGGGTTTATCATGAACCCAACTTGTGGGTTCGCGATGAACCCAGGCTGTTGGGTTTGCGACGAACCTAGGCTCTTGGGTTCGCAACGAACCCACGAGCTGGGTTCATCGCGACGAACCCAGGCTGGATTCGCAAGGAACCCAAGAGCCTGGGTTCGCAAGGAACCCAAC